GGCCGAGAATAATTTTTTAAATCAATTTATTGTCTTGGAAGTAGTAAAGTTACCGAACTTAACAGACCCTAGCGACAAAGCGTGTGTTTTTATGTATTATACCACAGGATCGTATTTATACCAGACTTTGGTTGCTCTGATCAAAGTGTAAATTACTCCTATACTTTGCAGTGAGTGTACTTTTGGTTTATCTTGTCGTCTGTCTTCTTAACTCTTGTCGGCGTTTTGAACAACCTAGCGAGGTAAATGTTTACTTACATACTGATCTTGAAAGTCAACTGGTAGTCCATCGAATGTGTTCCATATTAGGCTTGGAGTGTACATATAAGTTACGCTTATGTCATTTTTTTGGACATTTTTACCGATTCGGAAAAATCTATACTCAAAATCATTGATCTCTGTTTGATAATGAAATTTAAAATTCCGCGATTCTTCGTTACTCAACAGCTGGACTCAACATGTTCACAGTCTTTTCCTTCCCATCCCGGCATGCACTCGCACACATAGCCACCTGCTGTGTTACGGCATGAACCGCCGTTTTGGCATGGGAAAAGTTCGCATTCGTTTACATCTGGAATAAGAAAAAAATTATAAACGTATTTTGCGTCTCTACAGTCTAAGGATACACTTTACTTTGTAACGTGTACATGTTATTTTAAAAAAGAGTATTTTAGATTAATATGTAGGGTTCCTCAAGGTAAGATATTGCTATTGGAAACTGGCTGGGTATATATATTGTATCACTACCGGTCATGCTTGATATCCGTTCACCGCAGGTAGAGTCACTGTCTAAGAGTAAAGACAAACATTCCTAAGGCTATTCTTAAGGTACACATTATTGGATTACGCCGGTATTTATCAAATTGAAATACAATATCTTATTAGCTCGGTGTTCCCTTACCCTTGTCACAGGTCTTTCCAGTCCATTGGTCTGCGCACTGACACGTAAAATCTCCCACGGTGTTGGTGCAAATTCCATCATTCTGACAAGAATTATTTTGACATTCGTCCACGTCTAACAAATAGCAAGGATTATGAAATCAGCTTGATTTTCTAATAACATATGCCTATCACAATCTGTTCCACATTTTCACATATATTATTTCTTCCCCATAGCGTCTCTATATATCGACCAAACCAATTATTTCATGCAATGTCCAAAACTACGGTAGGGCAGAGCAAGTCATTTAAATGACGATTAAACTCATCATTAGTTAGCTTACCTTGATCACATCCATCCCTAGTCCAACCAGCAGCGCACTGACAGCTATATCCACCTGGCGAGTTTACACAACTAGCTCCATTTTTACACAGGCTGTTTTCACACTCATTTACGTCTGACGAAATAGAGAGCATTTGATTTTCTGTTATATTTCTTCAAACATGTATATACACTGTACCAATATATGAAATAAATACCCTCAGATCGTCACTACATTTTGCTTAAGGTGTCGGACTGTTGTTATTAGATGGTCTTTATTTTTAGAAAGTCAATGTTCGTGGGTGCAATTTAATTAATTCTACAAATGCTGCATCCTAGCGGGGAGGACTAGTTTAAGTTATAGACGTGGATTAAAGCTCTAAATGAAGCTGTATGTTCAGTCGAGGATTTAGCCGCGATCGCGACATGAAGAGTCTATTCTATATCAGTAAAAATTAACCTATACAATTATATTAACGCAAACCATTTAAATATATCTGGAGGTGGTCTAAAAAGGCGACGTTTAATCATTTCTTGGAACATGCTGACGAAGTTTTAGAAAGATTATTAGACTGAAATGACAAAATACTTCTCTCGATTTCTATGGAATGATAGTGCATATTCCCCTTCGTCTTTATCAGATATTATGTAATCGAGATTATGAGCCCTTAATTTGTTAATTTAAAAATCTGTTCATCATTGACCCGTCTTATGCAAGATTCACCCCAGACCTCGTTTACACGAAACCTCTAACATCTTCGTGTTCTTTTCACATGGGTATGCTTTTCATCTTTGCTCCTTTGGGAATTTGTTCATGATGGAATTTACAATATGCATTACAATGTGCGAAGCTTTGAGGAAATTTACTGATCTAATGTTAACATGCATGTACACAGGGGTAATTATTGCAAAATCTACAAGAGGCTTGACAAGTGTCGCTATTAATTTAGATCCTGTTTAGATCACGTTACCACTCCTTGGAGTTTATGCAAGATCTACTTTGCAAAGTTATTAGTATGTACTGCTTTGTTCATCTTTTTTACTTAAATCACCAAATTTTAACCTTCATCGCAGTCCTTTCCAGTCCATTGTGAAAGACAACTACATGTATATCCTCCTTGCTTGTTATTACATTTTCCTCCATTTTGGCACGGACTTTGTTTGCACTGGTCCAGAACTAAAGCAAAAGCACACAAATCAAACTTACTTCTGATGCAGAGTGTAAAAGAAAGGAGTACCACTAGACATTGAGACGAAGTACATTCGTGTTGTTGTGAAGCCTCTACCCATTCATTACCCAAAATAGGAAAGTTTCGATAATATTTCTACTGTTGCCTGGAATTGCTTGAGGGAAGGGTTGATGTATTTACCTGCTTCGCATTGCTTTCCACCATATCCAGCATCACACTTGCACGTGTAAGCTCCGTCGTTATTTTTATAGGTTCCTCCATTCTGACAAGGGTTTGTTTGGCATTCATCGATGTCTGAATCCAAAAAGAAAAAATGAATGAATGAATGAATGAATGAATGAATGAATGAACGAACGAACGAACGGACCGACAAACAAAATGAAAAAAAAAAACAGAAAAAACGAATTAATTAATATTCAATCGGTTTTCTTCTTGACCGATCGAATAGGTGTTTCATCGACTAACTGCATGACGAACGGATGAATTAAAGGATACATGTATGGATGGATGGCTGGATAGATGGTTAACTTGATCGAGGGAAGGAAAGAAGGAGAGAGGGAGGAAAGGAGAGAAGAAATAAATGGAAAAATCAGTTAATCAATCAATCAATCAGTCAGTTAGTCTGAGACAGTCCTAATAAAAGAGAGAACAAACCACTGGGCTGTTTTTAAACAGTGACTTCAGTGCTCAGCTTATCGTACAGTCAGATTATACATATTGTCTTCCATTACCTTCACCGCAAACTTTTCCAGACGATCCTGCAACACAACTGCAGCTGAATCCTCCATCACTGTTAGTGCACGATCCACCATTCTTACAAGGCGTGTTTTGGCATTCATCTACATCTAAAACCGTACGTACATCTCTGAATGTTTTGAAAGTGCCAGCTCAAATTTGTGCGTACATACACGTATTTGCATCCAAAGATTTCGAAAATACCGTATGCTCCAAAATGGAGTAGATAGACATCAGCTCAGATCAGATCAGATATTTCATTTTTTTGGACATTTTTACCGATTCGAAAAATCTATATCCAAGACTATTGATCGCTGTTTGATAATGAAATTGAAATTCCGCGATTCCTCGTTACTCAACAGTTGGACTAACCATGTTCACAGTCTTTTCCTCCCCGTCCCGGCATGCACTCGCACAAATAATCACCCGCTATGTTAAGACATGAACCACCGTTCTGGCATTGGGAAAATGCGCATTCGTCCACATCCAGAATGAGAAAAAAAAAAAAAAAAAAAAACAGGTAAGTGTATATTGCGAATCTCTATAGTCTAAGGCTGCAGTCCACATTGTAACGTTTCCATGTCACCCCATAACCTTATTTACATAAATATTTTGGAGTAATATTTATTTACTCAACCTCGCCTGTCTAAACTACTAATAGAAATAAATTTTCTATCATTAGGGAGGGAAGCCACTACAGCCTAGCCAATTACAATGGATCCCTCGTTAAGAATTAAACTAAAGCTATATTAATATATTATTAAGAAAAATCAAAAGGAAACAAAGCAGAAGTTCAAATTGCCAGAAACAGCACGACGGGGCCAAAGCAGAGTCCTCTTTATGTTGCACCTGGGACAGATTGTTCTCCAGGTTCTTATGTCGTCAACGTCGTACAGATATAGAGTCCAACAATAATATTGAGGTAATAAACGTTTAAATAAGAGATTTGAGAGAGACTTCACAGTGCGTAATTCAGTGAAGCTAGAGAGACGAAATAAATGGACAAATCAATCAATCAATCAATCAATCAATCAATCAGCCAATCAATCAGCTAGTCTGAGACAGTCCTGAGAAAGGGAAAGCAAACCACTGAGCTGTTTTTGAGCAGTGCCTTTTCTCTGCTTATCTTACAGTCAGATTTATAGATATTGTCCTCCATTACCTTCACCGCAATCTTTTCCAGCCCATCCTGCAACACAACTTGAGCTGAATCCTCCATCACTATTAGTGCACGATCCACCGTTCTTACAAGGACTGTTTTGGCATTCATCTACATCTAAAATATAAACAAAACCGCACCTACATGTATGAATGTTTTCAAAGTGCCAGCTCAAATTTGTGCGTATATTACATGTACATACACGTATTTGCATCCAAAGATTTCGAAAATACCCCATGCTCCAAAATGGAGTGGACAGGCATCAGATCAGATCACATCAGATTCGAAAACTGC